AAAAAATATATTGCAAAGGCAATTGATGAAATATCTTGATCAGATTTGTTCTATGGACTCAGTAGTTATCAAAGTTTTTAATACCATTGCATTTATGAATTTCAGCTATCCTTTTGATGAAGGGGGTACTGTTAAATGAACCCCTAAAAATAACTCCTCCTTAAGCAAAGGCACAATGTGTGTCATGGTTTATTGAATTAAAATTGAAAATGCAGACTGAGCGAAACTACAGAGCTAAGTATGGGAGTGTTCCACCGTCACGTCCGACAACTCTTGCATGGTACAAGAAATTTATGGAGACAAGAACAGTGTTGGCTAAAGGAAAGAATTGACGACCAAGAACATCTGAGGACAAACATCGATCGTATAAGACGAGTCTTTCAGCGTTCTACTACAACCTTCATCCGTACTAGTGCCAGACAGTTACAGCTGCCACATTCAACAGTACAAAAAGTGCTAAATAAGAACTTACGATTGTACGCTTACAAAGTGTAAAATGTAACTATTTCAGGCACTGAAGACAAACGATAAAACATTGATAGGCCTACAGCGAACATGGCAAAAAGTCGAGTACCGTCTTGATGTGCTTCGTGTAACTAATGCTGTTCATATAGAGATGCATTAAATTAGTTAGAAAAAAAAACTTCAATATCTATTCCACATTTTGTAACAATTTCCACATATTTGTCTGCTCATTTTTTTAAAACTATAAAGAGATTTTATGAACACCCTGTACACACACAAACACACATACACACACACACACACACTCACACACATATATATATATATATATATATATATATATATATATACATACATATATATATATATATATATATTGACGACCAAGAACATCTGAGGACAAACATCAAACATATATATATATATATATATATATATATATATATATATATATATTCACCCTACAAACCCATCTTCAATATTTTCATGTTAACGTGTTTTCTGGCTTTTCATTATTTCTGTGCAATTTTATATTATTTTTCCTTTATTTCACTAGGCTTGGCTCAATGGCGCCAATCAGGAGATTGGTGTTTTTCATACTTGATAACCGGCCTCCATCATATGGGAGTAGTTAATTATGTTTTATCAGTACCAGAAGGTGGTCATCAGTCCTTGATTTAACAACAAAGGACTTTAAAGGTAGGTATTCTTGACAAATATCATTTATGTTAAATAACCAAAAGAACCTGTCTATATTTCGGAGATGAGGTATTATGTACAGTATTTACATTAGTCGGATTATTGTCCTCATCTTTGTCGCCATATTTGTCACAACGTTTCGGACGTTGTACGCTCCGGCCTTCTTCAGATGGTTGAAATTTCGAACTGAACCCTTTATTTCGATCACTGGGGTAGACTGTTCTAGTTCCACGTGCCATGTTTGATGGATGTCAGTTATCAGTTATCTCCTGCTAATATTCCCTCTGAAAGTTCTCCACTGCCTTAACCGGGTATTGAACTCACATCCTTTGGGTCTGTCACTGGATCTAACCAACGCCTTTATCCACTGTGCCATGTGTTAACTGATAACTGACATCCATCAAACATGGCACGTGGAACTAGATCAGTCTACCCCAGTGATCGAAATAAAGGGTTCAGTTCGAAATTCCAACCACCTGAAGAAGACCGGAGCGTACAACGGCCGAAACGTTGTGACAAATATGGCGACAAAGATGAGGACAATAGTCCGACTAATGTAAATACTGAACCAAATAATCTAAAATGCTTCTCATGGTTTCAGTCAGCAGGACATAATTGTATGCAAGGTAAAATGTTATTCGATATTTACTAAAGCTTACACCAACTACTTCATCATGCAGAGGGTTGAAAACCTGATGAAAAAAGAAAACTGTTTTTACAACATTATCTCTCAACATTTTGACTCTCGTTCAATTTCACAACAATGTCTAACCTTTTTGACTCTCCTGTCAATCAAATCCATGCCTAACTTTTAACTCTTATATAAATCAGACCTGTGCCTAACGTTCAATCTACACCGATGTCTTCCTTTTTGACACTCTTGCAAAGAAAACCTGAATCTACCTTTTTATATTCCATATGCTAACATTTTAACTGCCTGGCGAACCAAATCCTTCGTTCGAACATCGATTTCTGTCATTAGTTTGAACATATTTGAACTGTTTCAGATGCATGGCAAAGAGTAAGGATCCGTTTAAAAATAATAATTAATTCTAGTTAGATACCAGCTAAGAAGTGTTATGAAACCGGTCGCATTATTTAAAAATAATGCAAGTTCTTAATCTCAAATTAGCTTAGTTTTACATAAAAATCAAACTGCATAGAAAGATTGCTTAGATAATAAATATTCGAAATCCTGATGTTTTTTAACTAGGCTTGAACCTAAACCATGTGGAATATATGCAGTTTTTGTGTTATATGCTAAACGAAGGGTAATAGTTTCTAGAATTATTAATATTTTAAAAGAACTTTATTTTATATATTTTTCTTGACTTTCCTCTAAAATCGGTTCGAAGTTTTCAGATTATGCTTAGCAAAGAGAAACTTTTAATTTCGCCATTATTAAATTCAACCTGGAAAGTGTATAAAGTGGGGAATTTCCCTCCCTTCCAGAGAGAATGGCAGAAGAGAAAACGGGGCCTTCTCGCCTTCCTTGTGTTCGCACACCTCCAACCCCACTCGTTGCGTAACATCTGCTCTGTAGCGGTGGTATGACCAGCTTAGACCAGCGGCCCGAGTGCTTCCACTCGGGACCCCACGTTAAAAACCGACCTTGTGTCACAACTTGACTCAGTGTTAAGATAAATCTCGGCCACTGTATAAAGTCACTATGTAATGAAGGGTAACAGTAATTTACGTTTGTCTGAAACGATAATTCTTTTCATTGTTTTACGTGTCAAATCGACTGCATTTGCTGGAGAATTGCTAATTACTTTTAGTCTATTTTTGTTTTCATCTATTTGAATTGAATTGGAATAGATTTCAGTTGAACACATGACTGTAATTAATTAAATTCAAATGTGACATTTGGTAAGAAAAAATGCTTTTTTTCATATTGTTAATAATTCAGATAAATAGAATTTTTATCTAACATTCCAAGCATAATTTCTTGTGTATAGCCTTTATTTTATTTGTTTCTATTTCCAAATCCTAGTTTTCATTATTCATCTCCCTCTTTTTTTCTTTTTAGTTGATGTAAATATACATTTTTTAAAATTTATTAAACATAGCTTACAGGCTATAAGTACGAAGTACTCAATAGAGAATAAAATTTCTCTGAGATAACGATCCTTCTACACGCAAATAGACACTCTTCAATCTCGAGAGAATATGGGATCTAAGTTGATTAGATAATCCCTGATGCAGATGCTTGCTCAAGGACAGTTTTATTTCTTTAACACTTACAGATCCAACATCTCTAACTTCTTCCCGCCCTCTCATCCGGGACTGTAGAATACGCCGACTTCACTTCTGCAAAGGGGTACCCTCCACTCATGAAACGTCCTGGTTAAGACTATAAATTACATCCAACAGCAAGGCCTCTGATTGGGAGGTTTTAAGGAGCGTGGAATCTCCTCTTAATTGCTACTGTTCCGAAGTTCATCCTGACCCGGGGTGGTAGCACCTGTTAGATTATCAGCTATGGGTGAATATTTAGCCCCCAAACTTGGGTCAAAACACTATGAAAATTTAAAATTGGTTTTAATACCAACATTACATTTTTGTAAAAACAAAAAAAATTACTTGCAATGAATTTTTGAAGAAAAAATATTACAGCAATAAATTCTTAATAGCAATACATTTTTGAAAATAAAATAAAATATTACCATATTACTATTTTTTTTGAAAAAAATAGCAATAAAAATTTTATCGGCATTAAATAGTGATTTACCAAGCGTAGCTTAGATGTGACACAAGGCCGAAAGTAGGGGGCACTCAGTGAGGATCGAACTCACTACTCAGTTGTAATTGTTCTAGCGAGACAAACTTGCTAACCATTACACCGCTTCGAGGTGTGCCCTTACCGGCATTAAATGACCCATTAACGTTGATATGCCGTAAAATAAACCAAACCAAATCTAACTTCTTTTATTTTCTCATTCTTCTTTATTTTCTTCTTCTTTTTGCTTGCCTCTCTTTTCATGACCATTTAATGAAACTCTTCTCTTATCAGGTCAAGTGTTTGTCCTACATTCTCTCATTAACCTTTTTACCAACAAACATCAACGCCCCTTATATTTTTGTCACTGATAGACGGAACTACTTTCACAACAACAGTGTTAATTCCCGCTAGAAAGTCTGCGATATCGATTTTGTTCTGTATTATGGGGCCTTTACTCCGGGCACAAACCTGCAAAAGGCCGGCAATTACTCGTCTCATCGGAGTCGTAGGAATTCGCCGCATACAAATCGAAAAGAAATCCTTCATGTTTGTTTTTGGGACAAAAGAATGAAATAAACAATAATTGCATCTCATTTTAGGGAGAATAAAGTAATTAATTGCAACAAAAATGGACAAATTTAATCCAGGAAAGCAGAGGTTATTTTTATTGCTTTCCTGGATTAAAATGAGATACAATTATTTTCGTATATTTCTCTGAGTTTTAATGTTTTCTCACATAAGTCTCCAAATGTGGAATATAAGAAGAGGTTACTCTGGTTCTACCAAAAATGTGTGCTTTACTCTTCTTTCTTTAATTATGGCCAAACTTCTGATGTATTTCCAAAAGTTCATGTCCCTTTTATTGTTTTGAAAACTAAGAAGTTAATAAATACTTCACGGTTCTTTAAGTACGACTCATGCTAAGCTTCGTAGAAAGATTCCGACAGTAAGCTGCCGTTATTTTCTACGGTCATAGGTTCGAGTTTGCCTTTCTATTTAACCTATACTTGCGAAAGAAGAGATAAAGTGAATGTAACGAACTCAACTGGAATTCGAACTCCGCTCTCCGAGTTCTCTCTTTCCGACTTTCCATCACAGCAACGACATATCAAAGCTTACAGCATCTGATATTCCCAAACCGTCAACCATTTAAGTACTGCCCAGGCTCACCATTGCTTAATTGTGGCGGTCGGATGAAAACAGGTTTTTCAACGTGATATCTCTCTAATTCACTAAATATTACATTAATAAAAAACATTCAAATCCAATGAAATCCAGGAAAGACAAATTTGGCCAATTGTATTTACTACTTATCAATGGTGGAGTAATGGATAGCGGCTCGGATTGAGGAATCGGAGAGCCGAGTTCAAATTCCATTACATTCTAATACATGCTAATACATTGGTAAAGGTATGAATCCTCTTCTTTTCCCCCTATCTATTGTTAAATAGCAGGATAGACTGAGTTCTATAGCCTTGAATGGCAGCTGGTATACCGCAGAAATAAATGGCAACCTGCTTCTGGAAAAAAATCTACCACGAAAGTCATGTATCGAAAGATACATGATCGCCTAAGTGTGTATCATGCTTGGCACATAACTGACTGACCCTCTTCTTCTCTCTCCAGCTATGGGTAAATAGCAGGACAGACCGGGTTCCATCTATAACCTTGGATGGTAAATGGTCTACCGCAAAAAGAAATGGCAACCTACTGCAGGTTGTCATGTATCGAAAGATGCATGATCGCCTAAGCGTGTAGCACGCATGGCACATAACTGACTGACTGACATATGAACGATTTTACTTTTCATTTCAAAAGGAAGATTAGAGAAATGAACAATCTGCATTATATTTCGAATCGAAACAATACTTTATTCTGATAATAATGGGAGCCACCCTAGCCTCTTATTTCGTTTGCGTTAATTATAACTCACACTGTAGAGAATGTAACAAAAGGAAATGAAAAAAAAAGCAATAAAATTCTGAACAGTCAAGATGTATTTTGTAGCTGAATAATAATAAAGACATTAAATAATCAAATAAAGATATTATCAAATAGTAAATAAAGACATTATCAAATAATAAAGACATTATCAAATAAAGGCGTCATTAAATAATAAAGGCATAATCAAATACACTGTTAAATAATAAAGACAAATCAAAATTTTTTTTATTTATAAATACAAAATTTCTATTAATTAAGCCATGTCTGGGGTTAGAAAAGAGCGACACCAACCACCTGCAAGGATATTTGCGCGTAAGTGAATATAACAAACCCGATTGGATTTAGAAATCGGCTCTCCGATTCTCAATTCTGAGCTGTTAACAATTACACCACCTGCGCATCCAGCACTTGGTATTACCAAATGGTCACCCTTCTCAGTACTGACCACGATCGATGTTGGTTAATTTTGTTGATCGTCCAACAACCTTATGTGCCAACGGGACATGGCCGTAACATTTGAATTGGTAAATATTTACATAAATAAAACAAACGTATTGGTCAATGAAAATCTTGAGATCCAATTGCATGGATTTTGTTTCTTGATAATATATTTATTATTTAATAATGTCTTCATTCATTATTATTCAGCGACAAAATAAATTTTGACTGTTCAGATTTTAATTCCTTTTCATCTCCTTTTTTACATTCTCTACAGTGTGTGAGTTATAATTAACGTAAACGAAATAAGAGGCTAGGGTAGTTCGCATTATTATCAGAATAAAGTATTGTTTCGATTCGAAATATAATGCAATGTTAAATTCTTTCATTTTAAATGGAAACTAAAATCGTTCATAAGTCAGTCAGTTATGTGCCATGCGTGCTACACGCTTAGGTGATCATGTATCGAAAGATACATGACTGACGAGGCATATATTTTCTCCCGCAGTGTAGGTTGCCATTTCTTTCTGCGGTAGACCATTTGCCATCCAAGGTTATAGATGGAACCCGGTCTGTCCAGCTATTTACCCATAACTGGGTGGGGGAGGAGAAGATGATTCATACCTTTACCAAAGGTATTAACACTGTAATCAACGAAATAAGAAGCTATAGAAGTTCCATCTATCAGTAGTAGGCAGTGATTCGTGGTTATTGTTATGGTTTAACTTTAGGCATGAACAGGATCTAAAAAGAACAGAATATTGTGGGGAGCCATAATCGTGCACCTCCTGAAGAGATACACCATATAGAAGAAGAAAGAGAATTATTATCGTCCGTTTCATAATCCTTCTCGGTCGTTTGTACAGGAGTAGAGGTTAAACACTTGTTTCCTGTTTAGGATCGGATTTCCGGTTCCTTATAAAGTCTTCCCATTCTCTTTCACTCCCATTAAACCCTTGCTACTTAGTAGCATTTTCGTTTTGTTTGGAGTGAATTGATTATAAATAACAATTTGAAAAGCAGGCTAGCTGACCTCGTAAAAAGAACAAAGAAAGATTTTTGGCTTATTACCCTGATTGCTTGGAGTTTTGTTATTTTGTATCTGAAAAATTGTAGACGGAAAACAAAGGAAGATAAATCATGTGTCCCGCTTGGTATTATTACCATATATGAATGACTTATTTCATAAGAGACATTTTTTTTTGCTCTTCCAATTCTCTCAATAAATGAATTGATAAACAATTGTTAATTGTTCAAACATAATGAACACCAGCTTCACGCCATTTTTGGTCAAAGAATTGTCATCAGGATGAAATCCAAAACATAAATAGTCCATTATTTATGTATAATAGCTGAAATTAGTAAAGCCAGATTTAATTCCGAACCATTGCTATCCCCTTTAAAATGAATTTCTATAGTAAAATAATTAGTAATTCATATATTTATTTGCCTTATAGATATAATAAATCTATTCAGACAGTAATGTTGGCCTAGATTTCTGTTTATTGAAAATAACTTTCTTCATTTTATTAAATGCATTTCCGCAGTAAAATTATTGGTAAAATTACACACACACACACACACACACACACACACACACACACGACGATCACCTACATCCGGCAACAAGTCTTCTCATCGGAAGATTGGATGATTTGAGAAGCGTGAAACCACATTTTAATTGCTGTTGTTCCCAGGTCCGCCCTGACCCGAGGTGGTAGCACCTGTTAGGGTCCCAGATATTGGCAAATAATGTCTACCAGGGCTGACCAAGCTCTTTAGTGTTATAGAACACGATTGGTCTAGGAGATGGAAAACTCTTACACGAAAAGCTTGACGTATATTGTCTGCTTCGTCTGTGGCAATAGTTCCGAAAAGTGTCGATGGTTCTGTGCAAGCCTGCAACACTTTAATCAAATCACATGTGTGGGTTTTCTGGCGGTTTATCTTGATTCTTTCTTATCCACGCAGTTCACTTGCAAGGTCCATTGGCGAGAGAGTGAAGGTGACGGGGTCAAGTAAAGGATATTACTGGAAGGCTCTGACTGGAGCTCTACACAGTGGCAGACCGATGGGTGATGGCCGTTCTTTCACAAACCCATGATCAATTGTGATGTCCGTGTCCTCCATCGGTGACAAGGCAGCCCTATTTAGGATTGCACTACTTTCCCTATTATGGGGAGGGGCGATAAAAGGAGCCCTAAACGTTGCTTGCTCACACAGAGACTTGGCAGCCCGTTGCAGCTGTCTGTTTATCCAATAAATCAGTCGAAACAGCAAGAAAGATCAGAATAAAAGAAAAATTTCCATTTAGGATCCTGGAATGTTCGCACTCTTCAGCACAATGATTCTGTACCAGAGCGTAAAACAGCTCTTGTTTCTCTCGAGTTAAACAAATATAACATCGACATAGCGGCCATTAGTGAAACACGTCTGGCTCGTAATTCTCAGCTTAGAGAAGAAAAAGGCGGATACGTATTTTTATGGGCTGGAAAGACTGGGAAACAGCCACGCCAGTCTGGTGTTGGCTTTGCCATCAAGTCAGACCTTGCTAACTCACTGGCTTCCATAACTAAATGTGTATCCGATCATATAATGGAATTAGCCCTCAATCTGGAGTGCAACACGTGTGACGATAGTTAGCTGCTATGCGCCAACCTTAGGTAGTTCAGATCAAGAAAAATATGATTTTTACAATCTCCTTCGGGATGTCATCTCCAAAGTCCAGCATAATACAGGTGATTTCAATGCTCGTGTTGGCAATGATTATCATTCTTGGAAAGGCGTTTTAGGTCACCAGGTATTGGTCATGTAATTCTAATGGTATATATATATATATATATATATATATATATATATATATATATGTATATATATATATATATATATATATATATATATATATATATATATATATATATATATATATATATATATATATATATATATATATATATATATATATATATATATATATATATATATATATATATATGCAAAGGTTAATGATTTAATTGTCGAGAAATCTATCGTCGCAAACAATTCAAATAATATACAAAAACCTCCGAATCCGTTATGAATGAAATGATCCTTGTTTCTATAAATTTCTGCCGTATTAGTTCTTATTTTTAATACAAGCTTTCGTCTGTTCCTACAGACATCTTCAGGTATGGAATAGATGTTGTTCTTGTTTTTTGTTGCATGAACTATATTGTTCAATAATTACAGTAATGTCGCACTTATTATCCAAAAGTCGCACTTGGATCAGTTATTTTAATTACGATAAACGTGCAATCAATTTACAAATTCATGAATATATGTATATATATGTATATGTATATATATGCATATGTATATATATGTATATGTATATATATATATGTATATATATGTACATGCATATATATGTATATGTATATATATATATATTTATGCATATATATGTATATATATATGCATATATATGTATATGTATATATATATGTATATATATGTATATGTATATATATATATATATATATATATATATATATATATATATATATATATATATATATATATATATATATATATATATATATATATATATATATATATATATATATATATGTATAGATGTATATGTATATATATTTATATATATATATATATGTATATATATATATATGTATGTATATATATATGTATATATATATGTATATATATATATATATATATATATATATATATATATATATATATATATATATATATATATATAATTATTTATTTAAAATATGATTCCAACGCGCAACATAAGAGGTCTCATGTTTCAAAACAAGAGCCGAAAAC